AAAAAAAAAAAAAAAAAAAAGATCACAATTGGCAGTGTGCAGTACACAGATCATGCTGAAAAATGTGATCTTCCCTTCCATTTGGAGAAGTGCTGGCAACATCCACTGTTACATTCGCTGGCCCAGTATCTGCCTGCTGTACCACAACCATCAACCTGTACCACACCTGACTGGCAAAGCCAACGAACATACAGTCAGTCTGCTCTCTTATGCGTTCTACATTTTGTGTTGAGGTTAAGCTAAACTACCAGCAAATTGGATACTTAGACCTAACATGTAATTGTCAAGAAAATTTTTGCTTTTTCTTATAACCTACATCTATGATACGCCCGACTGTGTTACTCTGGATTTGTGCATGTCAAGCAGAGTCGAATCTGCTTCTCAAATTTAAGGCCTTATTGTGCATATTCAAATTTTCCCTTCATCCTTAATCACCTACCTTTAGTATGTGATACTGATTTGCATTTTTTTTGGGTTCTCCCTCTTCTGGTTTCCTAAGGTATCCCCTTCTTCATGCCCTTTCACTGGGCATGGTCATACTCTGGTGAGATGTCTGAATCCTTCTGGGAACTCCTCAAACAAAGGACTGTGTTTTATTATCTTTGTAACCCTGATATACTTTTAATAACATTTTTTTCATCACATTCTTTTTGTAAATTTTTTTTTTGAGATGGAGTCTCACTGTTGCCCAGGCTGGAGTGTAATGGCATGCTCTTGGCTCACTGCGACCTCTGCCTCCTGACTTCAAGCAATTCTCCTAACTCAGCTTCCAAAGTAGCTGGGATTACAGTCGCCTGCCACTACACCTGGCTAATTTTTGTATTTTTAGTAGAGACGGGGTTTCACCATGCTTGCCAGGCTGGTCTCAAACTCCCGACCTCAGGTGATCTGCCTGCCTTCGCCTCCCAAAGTGCTAGGATTACAGGCATGAGCCACTGTGCCCAGCCTTGTAAAACTTTTTTTTTTTTTTTGGTAGAGAAGGGGGTCTCACTATGTTGTCCAGGCTGGTCTCAAACTCCTGAACTCAAGTGATCCTACCACTTTGGCCTCCCAAAAATGCTAGGATTACAGGCATGTGCCACTGTGCCTGGCCCACATTCTTAAAAGTAGCCTAAAAATTTTTGTAGAAGGCCGGGCGCGGTGGCTCACGCCTGTAATCCCAGCACTTTGGGAGGCCGAGGCGGGTGGATCACAAGGTCAAGAGATCGAGACCATCCTGGTCAACATGGTGAAACCCCGTCTCTACTAAAAATACAAAAAATCAGCTGGGCATGGTGGCGCGTGCCTGTAATCCCAGCTACTCAGGAGGCTGAGGCAGGAGAATTGCCTGAACCCAGGAGGCGGAGGTTGCGGTGAGCCGAGATGGTGCCATTGCACTCCAGCCTGGGTAACATGAGTGAAACTCCAAAAAAAAAAAAAAAAAAAAAATTTTTTTGTAGAATGAGGTGAAGTAAAATGATGGGGCACCAAGCTGGTCACTTATTCCCAGACGGTTGAGGAGGGGTGGGGGAGGAGTTCTTTGTAACTTTTGTGTATAGTCAAAATAGTTCAAAGTAAAAGTTTTATTTGAAAAGTGTAACAGTTATTTTATTTCAGCAGTTTAAAATTTTTCCTTTTTCTTAAAGAGGAAGAAGGCATTTTCACACCAGACTGGTCAGATGGGAAGAGTCTTCAGCTTCAGCTTGGCCTCATTAATTTGAAAACAAATTGCTTACATGAGACAGCACCTGTGTCCAGCTGAAAGCAGGTCCTTCAGAGCGTGTAGGGTTCTCTGCTGGCTTGATGGGCTGGCTCCTTCGAGCTGGTTGCTGGAGACGTCACCGGTTGAGGGACTCCTGCAAACGTTCATACATGACTTGATCCTGAGAGGAGAGAGAACACAGAATACAGAGCCCATCACTGCTTGTTATGGGCTGAATGGTGTCCCCCCAAAATTCACATGCTGCAGTCCTCACCCGCAGAACCTCAGAATGTGATTATAACTGGAGAGAGGGTCTTTACAGAGGAGTCTGAATTAAAACAAGGTCACACAAGTGGGCTCTTATCCAATATGACTGGTGTCCTTACAAAAAGAAGGGATTAGGGCTCACATGCGCAGAGGAAAGAGCACCGCTGGGAGAAGACAGCCATCTGTGAGGACACGGGCTTAGAAGAACCAACCCTACCCAACACTCTCCAGAACTGTGAGAAAATACATTTTCCATTTTTTAAGCCACCCGGTCTGTGGTACTTTGTCATAGTAGCTCTTGCTGACTAACACACTGTTAAAGAGAGGTGACACTTTACTTTCCTGCATCTAAATCCTAATCTAAATACTATACATGTTCCTTTCCACAGGAAACTCCCATGACTTTCACAATTGTCTACTGAGGCTTTTCTAAAAAATAAGGTCAAAAGATTCTTATGTTTCTATCTAATTAGTGAAGAAAGCACAATTCTTAACCTATGCTGAATCCAGATGGAAATGGAGGCGAAAGCAGAAGCTTCTTACACTATATTAACGTTAGTAAGAAACTGCCAGAATGTTTTTCAATGTGATTGTATCTACATTTTCAGCAACAATGTATAAGAATTCCCTGTAATCCCAGCATCTTGGGAGGCAGAGGCGGGCAGATCACCTAAGGTCGGGAGTTCGAGACCAACCTGACCAAAATGATGAAACCCTGTCTCTACTAAAAATACAAAAAATTAGCTGGGTGTGGTGGCGCATGCCTGTAATCCCAGCTACTTGGGAGGCTGAGGCAGGAGAATTGCTTGAACCTGGGAGGTGAAGGTTGTGGTGACCTGAGATTGCACCATTGCAATCCAGTCTGAGCAACAAGAGCAAAACTCTGTCTCAAAAAAAAAAAAAGAGAGTTCCAGCTGTTTCACATTCTTGCCACCAATTAGTGTTGTCAATCTTTTAAATTTTGGTCTTTGTGGTAGGTGTGTAGTAGAATCTCACTGTGGTCAAATTAACATTTTAAGTGTTGGGTAGCAATTCCACTCCTGTGTATTTATCCCAAAGAAACATTTGAAGTGTGTTTTTTCTTCTGTGTTTATTTGTTTGTTTTTGAGACAGGGCCTTGCTCTGTAACCCAGGCTGGAGTACAATGGTGTGATTATGGCTCAATGTAGCCTCAACCTCCTGGGCTCAAGTAATCCTCCTGCCTCAGCCTCCTGAGTAGCTGGGACTACAGGTACATGCCACCATGCCTGGCTAAGTTTTCATTTTTTGTAGAGACAGGGTCTCACCATGTTGCCCAGGCTGAACTTGAAATCCTGGGCTCAAGCCATTCTCCCACCTGAGCCTCCTGAGTAGCTGAGATTATAGGCACGAGCCACTGTGCCTAGCTCCAGAGTGATTTTTTTTAACCCTTCTCCTACCTATGGTGAAGATATTTTTATTTCCCTGAAATGTATGGTAAGTCCCTGAGGCTTAGTTTGGGTACAGTCTAGCTCTAAGAAACACAAAGGCATTTGTCAAAAAGGGAAGAGGAGGTCAAATAATACTTGAATTAGATGATTAAAAATTCTGAGATTATGGAGACAAAAGAGGTCATTCTCTCTCTGAATAAATAGTGGTTAGAGAATCTAGTTAGGAAAACTGTGCTCCAGTCCCTAAGAAACATATAAAATTAAAATCTCTCAAGAACATTCTCACGAAGGCTATTATTTTGCTTGTTCAGATCAAAATGAACTATGTAATTTCTTTTTAGGAAGTAGAAGTAGTATACAAAACAATCTGTAAAGGAGTTTAATCAACTAAAACTCTAGTTTCCTTTCTCTGTACATTTAACAGCATTTCTTACCTTTTTTGATATAGATGATCTTACTTTCTTGAAAGCTTCTTCAAAGTGCTTATTACTAATCTTGAGTTCACCTATGGAGCAAATGCACAAATATACACATCTCAGGATGGTACGCTAACTGACTTAGAACTTAACTACCTCTGAAAGACTTCTAAGCTCTCAAGGGGTACACTAAAGAGATTAGTGATGTGATGGGCTGTATATTCTTTTTCAGAACAGTATTCTAGCCAGATATATTCTGTTTATCAGATTTTAATCCAAACCACCCAAAGAGACCTGCCACTCATAAGCTGGTAACCTTTTGTAGGCCCTTTTGCATTGTTTAACTTAATAGTGACGTTTATGAAGAAAAACCAGAATTATTCAGATAATTCAAATGAATTTAACTGGGAATGGAAAGTAGGATCCCACAGTATTAATATTTAAGAGTATGCAACACACAATGAGATCTTATGGAGCCATAACATCAGAGAATATTTTATATACGTAATATCTCAGCACTGGAATAGAAGGGGGCTTTAGGGTATGGTGGCTCATGCCTGTAATCCCAGCACTTTGGGAGGCTGAGGCGGGTGGATCATGAGGTCAGGAGTTTGAGACCAGCCTGACCAACATGGTGAAACCCTGTCTTTACTAAAAATACAAAAATTAGCTGGGCGTGGTGGTGTGTGTCTGTAATCCTAGCTACTTAGGAGGCTGAGGCAGGAGAACTGCTTGAACCTGGGAGGCGGAGGCTGCAGTAAGCCGAGATCACACCATTGCACTCCAGCTTGGGCAACAAAGCGAGACTCCGTCTCAAAAAACAGCAAGGGGGCTTTAATTCTCTGCAAGGTTATTCCATTACATAAATAAAATAGCTAAATGTTAAATACAACTTGGTTTAGAATGTAAATATGATAGCTTATGTGATGACAATTTATATTTAAAATACTAAACTTTCTACACAGATATTAGGATAGTATATTCACCTAAAAATAAAATGTGTTGTTCAGCATATCAAATGGAAGTTGAATGGCATTAGTGACTTCAGGTTCAGTAAGATATCAACAAAATTCCCTAAAGGATAGAGAGGTAGAAATGTAAGCTGTAGCAAAGCAGGGATGTCAGGGTTTGTTATTTATGTTTATAAGACAACCTCCAGGCCAGGCGCAGTGGCTCATGCCTATAAGTCTGGCATATTGGGAGGCTGGGCAGGAGGATCACCTGAGGTCAGAAGTTTGAGACCAGCCTGGCCAGCATGGCGAAACCCTGTCCCTACTAAAAAAATACAAAAATTAGGCTGGGCACAGTGGCTCACATCTGTAATCCTAGCACTTTTGGAGGCCGAGACAACCAGATCACTTGAGGTCTGGAGTTTGAGACCAGCCTGGCCAACATGGTAAAACTCTGTCTCTACTAAAACTACAAAAAAATCAGCTGGGCGTGGTGGCAGAGGCCTCTAATCCCAACTACTTGGGAGGCTGAGGCAGGAGAATCACTTGAACCCAGGAGGTAGGGATTGCAGTGAGCCAAGATTGTGCCACTGCACTCCAGCCTGGGCAACAAGAGCAAAACTCCATCTGAAAAAATAAAATAAAATAAAATAAAAATTAGTTTTATTAGAGAGGTACTAAATAACTTATTCTTAGATACTGCAAAATCCCAGAAAAAATCTGGACAGGTACACACCTAAAATCCCAGCTACTCAGAAGGCTAAGGCAGGAGAATTGCTTGACCCAGAAGGCAGAGGTCACAGTGAGCCAAGATCATGCCACTGCACTCCAGCCTGGATGATGGAGTGAGATTCCTTCTCAAACAAACAAATAAATACCCTCCAAACAAAACAAAATTATTACTAGCAGTTCTAATACATGTACAGGGACTCATTAATTTTTAGTAAACAAACATACCCCCAAGATAGTGTTCAGATTCAGCTCTCAGATAGAATATATGATTTTTTACAAGATATTTTAATTTTTCTTATTTATAACTCACCTCCTTCCAAAAGGAATTTAATGTAGTATATAATAACAGAAGTTCAGATAACTGAATCTTAAACAATAAAAAGCTCAAGGGCTTTCTAATGTGTTGACAAATCCAATCTGAGCCTATGCTGCTGTAACTACAAACAAATTTAGCTTTAAGAATTTTGGCAGCCAAAGAAAAAAGGGAATAGAGGAAAAAAGGAAAACCAATACAAGCTTAAAAAGACATCTTTCAGAAGTCTATTTAATGAAAGAAGATCAACAGAAAACTTCAGATGAAAGTACAGGATTAGAGGGCAGGGCAAATCTTTTTAATTAAAAATTTAATAGAGACAGGGTCTCCCTATGCTGTCTGGGCTTGTCTCGAACTCCTGGGCTCAGGCAATCTCAATCTTGATCTCCCAAAGTGCTGGGATTACAGGTGTGAGACAGGATGACTGGCCCAGAGTAAATCTTTTTGAAGAAAGGTATTTTGTTGTACTACAGAGATACCCATAAACTGCAACTGATCAAATAATTATCACAGGAACCAAGCAAAGCAAAAGCTATTTCTGTACCTGGCATGGTTGGAATGCAAGTCACTAATAAATCGCTCTCTTTTTTTTGTTTTTTGAGACTGAGTCTTGCTCTGTCACCCAGGTTGGAATGCAGTGGCACAATCTCGGCTCACTGCAACCTCCTCCTCCAGAGCTCAAGAGATTCTTCTGCCTCAGCCTCCCAAGTAGTTGGGATTACAGGCGTATGCCACCACACCTGGCTAATTTTTGTACTTTTAGTAGAGATGGGGTTTTGCCATGTTGATTAGGCTGGTCTCGAACTCCTGACCTCAGGTGATCCACCCACCTTGGCCTCCCAAAGTGCTGGGAAGTACAGCGTGAGCCACCACACCTGGCCTCTCTTTCTTTTTTAATAGAGACAGGGTTTGCCCTGTCACTCAGTCTGGAGTGCAGTGATGCAGTCATAGCTCTTTGCAGCCTCGAACTCGTGGGCTCAAGCAATCCTTCTGCCTCACCCTCCCAAGTAGTCAGGACTATTGGCATGTACCATCACACCAGTCTAGTTTTTTCATTTTTCTGTAGGGATGGGGGTCTTGGTTTGCTGCTCAGGCTGCTCTCAAACTCCTGGGCTCAAGCAATTCTCCTGCCACAGCTTCCCAAAGTGCTGGGATTACAGGTGTGAGCCACCACACCCAGCGGACAATTTTTTTTTTCCCATACGCACTCAAACAGTAAAATTAAAGACACTGTCAAATGTGAAGGATGATGCAAAGCTGTTGAGATGGCCCCAAAGCATCACATAATACAATATAAATGGATTTTGTATTTTGAAAGGAAAGTCTCAATATATGGAAAGTTATTCTAATTTTCACTTCTCTTGTATATTTTCTAAGCACTCCAATTGAGGCCACATTTTAACAGGCAAGTAGATATCACCTTAGCAAAAGAATAAGGTTTTCCAGAATTGATAAGCAGCCCAAACTCATAATGAAGACAGTGAATGGATGCATTTACCTATAGGTATAGTACTCTTTATTAGAGAGGAACTAAATAACTTTGCTATTATTATAATTGTCAGCAACAGAGGTTACATATTTCAGAACAGCTTCTAACAGTCTCATTTAAAAACATTAGCTTTAATATCATAGATAATAGACACTAGAAAATGGTTATTTTCCAGGACAACGGTGAAGTACCATAATTAAAAGTGAGAGATTCTGGAGAATCATACCTTTTTCATTTCCACTCTTCTGTCTTGCCATTTCCTGTCTCAGGGCACAGATAGAAGCTTCTCGTACCAAAGCAGAGAGATCTGCACCCCTACAATAAAAGAATAGTTATTTATTTCTTCTTAGATACCACAAAAGCCCAGAAAAAAGCTGGACAACAATTTTCATATAAGTCATATATGAAATAATCAGGAAAGAAAGTGACCAATAATGATGAGATAAATTGATTATCATCAATAGGAAAGAGCTTTTAGCTTTTAAGTATGATACTTCTAGGCCAGATTCAGTGGCTCACGCCTGCAATTCCAGCACCTTGGGAGGCTGAGGTGGGTGGATCACTTGAATAGGAGTTTGAGACCAGTCTCAGCAATAAGCCATGTCTCCAAAAAGTTAGCTGAGCATGGCGGCATGTGCCTGTGGTCCTGGGCACTCAGGAGGCTTAGGTAGGAGGATCACTTGAGCCCAGGAGGTAGAGGTTGCAGTGAGCCAAGACTGCACTACTGCACTCCAGCCTGGGTGACAGCATGAGACTCTGTCCCAATTAAAAAAAAAAAAAAAGGGAAATTCTGGAGGAAACAATACAATGCATAAAGGGCTAAAGTGCTGACAAGCATATTCATGTATTACATAATGTCTAAAGTAAGCTTATTAAAAGTCATTTATGGGCTGGGTGCAGTGGCTCATGCTTGTAATTCCAGCACTTTGGGAGGTTGAGATACTTGAGCCTGGGAGGCATAGGCTGCAGTGAGCCTGGCTGACAGAGTTAGACCCTGTCTCAAAAAAAACCCAAGTTCAAAAGGGAAATATACAAACGCTGGAAAGTCTTTAATGCACCTGATTCAAGTTAAAACTGAATGAACACATCACAAGTTACTTAAAATATGACAAATACAAACAGTCCTTCATTTATTTAATTATTTCATGTAATAATATGCTCAGTCAGCACAGTTCTGAGTTCAATGAAAGACTCATGCTGACTGGTGTTTTACTACATTACAGCTTTAACAGGACTCTTAGAGATGTTTTGAGAAAGAGTTTGAATCTGGGGATAAAGACCTCATTTCTATGTCACAAGTCTTGGAAAGAAAAGATGAAAATAAAAAACATTTTTAAAAAACTTCATTTCTGACTTTTCCAATTTGCTTCAAATGATTGCAGAAAAAAAACCAAACTACATTTCTGGATATTAAACTTATTATATAATGTTGACAATCCACATACTATATACATTTTTTTTTTTTTTTTTGAGATGGAGTCTTACTCTGTCACCCAGGCTGGAGCACAGTGGTGCCATCTTGGCTCACTGGAACCTCCACGTCCCAGGTTTGAGTGATTCTCCTGCCTCAGACACATACTATATAAAAGTAAAGACCCACAGAGCTTAAATTTTTAACTGAATCTGGTGTTTTGTTGGCTAAATGTTAGGGTTATAACATTATTTAATAATCACATACATGCTGGGGTGTTCATTCCTTCCCCTACTCTGAAATCTAACATTGGTGCAGACAATATTAACTAATGCAAACAGATAGCTAAAGACTGTAGTAGCGTAGTGTCTCTCAAACAGAGTGGCATGAAGATCCAAAATGTACACCACTCAACTTTAGCCCTAACCCCTTTATAGACAGACAACCTACTTGGTATATCCAAAATATTTAGCCCAGGGCAAGTTCTGCCACCAAAATCATCTTTGCTACTCACTGAAAATCTTTTCAGATTTGAGCACTTAAAGCTGTGTTTTTGTTTTTAGAGATGGGGGTCTTACTATGTTGCTCAGGCTGGTTTTGAACTCCTGACCTCAAACAATCTGCCTGCCTCAGCCCCCCAATGGGATTACAGGTATGAGCCACTGCTCCCACCCTTAAAGCAGTAAACTACTCAAGTAGTAGTCCCCTAAGTAGTATGATCATTTATTTATTTAATTTTAATTTTTTTTTTTTTTTGATGGAGTCTCACCCTGTTGCTCAGGCTGGAGTGCAGTGACACAATCTCGGCTCACTGCAACCTTCACCTCCTGGGTTCAAGCAATTCTCCTGTCTCAGCCTCCCTAGTAGGTGGGATTACAGACGTGCGCTAGCACGCCTGGCTAATTTTTGTATTTTTAGTAGAGACAAGCTTTCACTATATTGGCCAGGCTGGTGTCAAATTCCTGACTGCCAGGCCTCCATGTGCAAGTCCAGACCCAGAAAGTCTAAAGTTCTGCCTGCCTTGGCTGATAGCCTCCACCTCCCCTACCCCCCCATATGGCAAGACCCCATAACTACAAAACATTAAAAAAAGATTGGCTGGGCATGGTGGTGTGCACCTGTAGTCCCAACTATCCGGGAGGCTGAGGTCAGAGGATTGCTTGAGCCCAGGAAGTGGAGGCTATAGTGAGCCATGATCATGCCACTGCACTCAGCCTAGACGAAAGAGGGAAACACTGTCTGGAAAAAAAAAAAAAAAAAAAAAACAACTGGACGGGGCATTGTCTCTGTTAGTTAAACTGAGTTTCATTTCTTCTCTCTATGTCCCAAAATTGGGAAAGTTAGCAAACAAATTTACTTCAAAACATGAAGAAAAACTAACAACTACAACAACCACAAACATAGGAAGGCTGAAGGCAGAAACGTCAGATTTCCTGAAGTTACTACAGGCTTGTGGGGGTGAAAAGGTGTGCTGTGAAAATGCATCCTGAGGGCTGGAAAAGGTGGCACTTGTAGATTAGTCTCTTTTACATGCTGAAGCACCAGCACAATTTGTAAAGGACAGCAAAGCTGGTTAGGGTAGGTTAACTACCAAGAGTCAACATATGAAAGGACTCCCCTGTTCCCAGGAATTCCTTAAGAGCCTCCAAATGAGCAGTCTCTTCTCTAAGAAGGGAGATGCCAGACACTTCATATGCTTCACAGGATAATTCATTTAATCCTCCCAACAATCTGCTGAGGTTAGCCTCATTCTCCCTCATTTTATAGTGAGAAAATTGAACCCCAGAGAGTGAACTGACTTTAAACACTTACGTATAGCAATCACAGCGAAGGTCACCAGCAATTGCTTCCAAATTTACATCTGCATCCAGTGGTGGTTTGGTACCATTCTAAGTAAGAGAGAAAAATGATTTTTCACTAGAACTTTAAAGACCATGCTGGGCACGGTGGCTCACGCCTGGAATCCCGCCTCTTTGGGAGGCCAAAGTGGGCAGCTCACCTGAGGTCAGGAGTTCGAGACCAACTTCGGCAACATGGTGAAACCCTATCTCTACTACAAATAGAAAAATTAGTCTGGCATTATGGTGTGCACCTGTAGTCCGAGGTACTCCAGAGGCTGAGGCACTATAATTTCTTGAACCCTGGAGGTAGAGGTTGTAGTGAGCAGAGATCATGCCACTGTACTCCAGCCTGGGCAACAGAGTGAGACTGAGTCTCAAAAATAAAGACAAGACCACATTCAACTACATAATAGGTTCTTAATAACGGCTGTTGGGCTGGGCACAGTGGCTCGCACCTATAATCCCAGCACTTTGGGAGGCTGAGGTGGGTGGATCACGAGGTCAGGAGTTCGACACCAGCCTGATCAACATGGTAAAACCCTGTCTCTACTAAAAATACAAAAATTAGCTGGGCATGATGGCGCGTGCCCGTAATCCCAGCTACTCAGGAGGCTGAGGCAGGAGAATCGCTTGAATTTGGGATGCAGAGGTTGCAGTG